CCCACCATACACCTGTGCAGCAAGCACCTATTACACAGTAATTCCAACAAAAGCAGTATTACATATATGCCATACTTATTTATCTTATTGTTGGAGCAGGGACAGCTTATATCCTGTTACACATTTTCTCAAGAAAACTAGTAAATTGGATTTCTGTACAGTAGGAAATGTACTGAACTTCCTGTAGCATCTGAGAGAGAGATTTTCCTGTCAGATGTTGAGCATGCAGCCCTTTGCTTTTTAACTGAAGTCAGCTTCGCAGATTTGATAGGCACCTTGGAAAATTTCCCCAAAGTGGAGAAAAGGTACATTATCTGGTAAAGAATTTGTGATACTGAAGTCTATTCTCCTGGAGTATTGCCCTCTGGTAGAAGACTAGATGCATAGTCAAATGAAGAAATAATACTTTGGATCATGGATAGTGACGGATTATAACCTAAACCTGAGATAAAGCCATTATTACCCAAACAGCATATTATTCAGTCATTATCCTCCATGATGGAACCACCAAGGCATTTGGAGGGTCTAACACTTTGGTTTTGTTTTGGATCTATGCCCATCTCCTATGGTTTAAGTTAATCACTACTTCCAAAATATCAGAAGTGAAAAATGGGATGAAATAGAGTTTGGAAACAATAACAAGTGATGTCATTTGCCCCCAAGTCCACTGACCAGGTCAGTAGTAGAGTCTGGAATAGTATGAAAGTCTCCCAATCTAGTCCAGTGGTCTAGCAGGTAGACCACATTGCTTCCTTCTGTGGGCTTGATCCTGTCACCTTGACTCATGGAAAGACTTTGGTCTGTTGCCCTCAACTGTTGCAGGGTTAGGTTAAAGCCTTTATCTACAACCTATGGAGTATATGGGGTAGCTTTTCCCCTGCTTAATTATGCAAAGCTTAGGGCAGTGGTTCTCAATCAACTTAGACTGAAGGCACCCCTCATTAGACTTAAGCCACTCCTTAGAAAATGCCAGCTTTTAGTTTTCACTTGTTTTTTGACTACAGAAGAACAATAAAACAATTTTTCATTAGAAAGAACTCAGAAAGACCACAACAGGTCAGAATGTTTGTAGTACTATGGATTCCTATTTGAAATCTTTGGGTGTATAGGGACTTATTTTTAAAATGACAGTCCCTGATCCAGAATAATTATTTGAAATGTTTCCCCTGTACCTTTGGCTGAACATCAGAATTGGCAACATTAATTTCTTTGCTGTCTTTATTACATAATTGTTTTTTTCCATTCAGGGGAGGGAGGGAGAAGAAGAGAGTAGCATGTTAATTAGGATACCGATATATTTTTACAGTGCAAATAAATTGTATATAAGGCATGTTTTAATTTAAGAGTTCCTTTTATACACCAGACACTAAATTATAGCTGTTTGATGGGCTGTAAGGAGAGGAGTATGGACCCTGTACTGAAAGATTTGGGGCAAGTCATTTCATTTCACTCTGTATATATCCACATCTAAGAAATGGGCTAACTGTTTCATGGGTATTGTGACAATAGACACATAAACATATTAGGAGATGCTCAAATAATTATTATAGTATAGATCATGCAAGGTTCTCTTGGACTGTGTCATATTGTTTTTGTTCGCATTTATATGATCCTTAGACTTCCATAATTATGTAACTTTGTAACAGCAATATTCACTTTCTGGCTATGATCTGAATGATCAGCAGCTTTTCCTATTCTTTTCCTGGATGTGTCCATGACACAGTCCCATAAACAACTGCACATGGAAAAATCTCATTGCAGGATTGGGACCTTAGTGGACAATCCAGGAGACATGCTTGTTTTCCATAACAGCCTTCTAGTTGGGGGAGTGACAATGATGGGGGAAAAAACATAACTATTTTTAAGGCTTCTGAATTTAAAATAATAAACATGTTTTCAGTGAATGCATGTGCTGGAAAGAAAATAACCTTTGAAGGTTGAATAATAAAATAAGTAAAATTATATAGCTCTGTTCATTCTGAAGGCCTCCAAAGCACAGCACAAACTTAAATACAAATACCATAAGCAGAGATCATTGCACAGTAGTCACTATTAAAATCTTTACAGTTGCCATTTGCAAGGAATGAATGGTCCCATGGCAGCCATGGTAATACCACAATAATGCCTATTAGGGCAACCCTGAAATGGGAAAGATTCATGCCACTATATTCAACACTGCAGGTATAGATCCCCTTTGAATAAAAGAGGGCAATGCATAATAGTGCCATTAGATGGGGGTGGGAAGGGGGACAACCCAAGACACAGCTTCTTTCCTCTAGAGTACTGAGTCCGTATTGACTGATGAGCCAGTGGATCTACTGAATTGCTTGCACCATTTCCTGAAGCTGTCTGAGAAGTGCACAGTAGCTGTTGTGAACCTAAGAATCATCCCCTGCATCCTCATTCAGACTCCCAGCACACATTGCTGCCTTGTCAGGATCTCCAGGCTTGTTTCCTTTCAGTGCAAGATCATATGTTCCCCCTGACCCACCTCCAGCCCATACACAGACATCTCTAACTTAAGTGGTGCTCTGAATCCAAACTAGTGAACTCACTTGGTTGGGTGCATGGAGTGTAGTGAAATCTGAATGCCACCAGTGCTCAAGTAAGTAATATGGCAGGAGCTCAGCTATTCCGTGACACTGACACAAATATTCTGTTCAGCTAATTCACTCTGAATACAGACAGATTTCAGTGAGTTAAAAGGGAGCGGTGTAGACTCCCACCCCCAAACCAATCTAGCATGGGGCCCTGAGAAGTAGCCCAGCAGGGCTGCCTCCTGCCCCCAGTGCAATGTAGTGCAGGACCCCGGGAAGCAGCCCAGCTGGCCTGCCTTCTGCCCCTGGACCAATCTAGCACGGGGGATGGGAAAGCAACCCAGCTGGACTGATTCCCCATCCCCAGTGAAACTCGAAACAGTATCAGAACAGCCTTTCTGTTTCAACAGAATGGAATAGAACAGAACAGCTGTTTTGACTTGAAATTAAATTGGAGACGAAACACTGGTCCCTTGAACTGTCGAAACTCAAGGCGAAATGGAACGGTGCCATTTCACACAGCCCTAATATTTACAAGTACTTTCCTGCTGCAGAGTATTTTACTCTGTAACAACACATGTGTAGATGCTGCCTTGGCTGACTGGGGCATGAAAGTGCTTCAGTTCAGGGGCTGCCTGCTGGCTAAGCCTGTACGGAAGTACCCTCATGTCCCAGCCAGCCCCTCCACAGCATGTTGAGCAGGGGAGAAGACCTGGTCTGACAGGTTTACCCCCAGGGCCCCCTGCCAACTAGGGCTGCTCTGATCCAGCTCAGTGTGCTGTGGTCCTGGGTGCATATGCAAACTGTGTGCCTGGAGCAATAAACTTCAGAGCAATAAGCTCCGGAGCTAATTGCTTCGTATTAATATGCTCATGTAGATGCACCCTGTGGTAATTGTGTCTGATCTTAGTCTATGATAAGTGAACAGTAAAACATGGTAACTGAGTCCTGAAGGAAAGAAGTTGTATATACCAGTGGTGACATGTAGGGGGTGGTGACGTGTAGTTTTTGAAGTCGGGGAGGGAGGGGGTCTCAAATATTTCAGTGGACCCCAAATAAGCCTTTAGTTGATGCCCTCACAAAACATTGCTGCCAATTTCTAGCTCTGGCTGATCTTTGCATCCACTTTGTTTGTTCCTGCTGTCACATGGTTGGGCAGATCAGGAGGAAGTCCCATACCCATGCTGAATTTCATCTTCTGCAAATTCCCAAGGGCTCTGTTGTCCTCTTGGTCATACAGCACAACTCCTCTGCTTGTTCAGACTTTATGCTCCATGTCCACATTCCCTGATGCCTGAGCAACACTTTTTGGCACCTTTTCAGCAAGTGCCCTGCACTAGGTCTTGCCAATTACTAGATCTGATCACAAAATGGGGTGAATTTTCTTGACAAAATATTGTGTCTGTGCATGTGGGGGGTTTTTTAATTATCCCATTGTGTCTTTCTGGTTACTTTTTTCTTTAAAGAATGTTGGATTTTGAATTTCCACACTGTCTATGTTATTACAGGGTAGGTCACATTAGACATATATTGCACTGAACTAGAATCTTAAACTGGCAAAGTTGGTCTAGATCCTCCAGTATAAAACTAGCCTCTTAGTTCATTCCTATATCTTTTACTCCTACTCCAAACACATCCTGTCAACTCTTTCTTTGCCCTCCCACCTTATCTACCACCGTCTGACAACTTCAGCATCACCCCTTCTACCCTACTTCTAAAGATATGGCAAAATAGCTGTTTATCTCAGTCTGCCTCTTTCCCCGGCATTACCACTTCAGATAAATATCACAGGGTCACTTCAGCAGTTGTACAGTCCTCTCCAGTGCGTCCCAACAAGCAGGGAAACAAATACATTCAATATAGTGGGAAGTATGCAGTGTGTTCCCTTATTTGGAGCTCCAGTCTCATGACTTGCCTGATGGGTGCTTAAAGGTACAAGCTGTGGGCTTGTTTTGGGAACTTCTATTATACCTTATAGTTTGTATATTGCATTGAACTGGAATCTCGTATTGGTAACATTGATGTAGATACTCAGCTGTGGAAAATCTTTGTAATCCCATTGACTTCAGTAAAGATGTGCTGATTAATACCAGCTGGGTGACTAACCCTTGGTATTTAGAGAAGTCCCCCACCCCTACCCTCTACCCTTTTTTAATTTGATTTCTCTCTGCTTTTTATTGGACCATATTTTAAAAGTCTCATGTAAATTACCATCTAAAATCTTCACCTACATGGGAAGTTGTGTAGTAGAAGCTGGACTGAGAACCTGGGCCTGATTCACCACTGTTGTAATCACTATTTGTTAATGTACATTGTGGCCTGGATTTACCTTAGTTGGGAATCTGGCCTGCAGTGTGTGCATGCATATCCATGTGCATATATACAGTGTTGATTTTAAATTAAGAACTAGCTAGGATATTGTCTTACTAAGTATCATTTTGTTTTTTTTCTCCTGTCTTACAGCACCATCGCCAATCAGTAGTGTGAAAAAAGGCAAGATTACTAAAAATAGCATCTCCCTTTCCTGGCAGGAGCCAGATCGACCCAACGGGATCATCCTGGAGTACGAAATCAAATATTTTGAAAAGGTGTGACTGACTGATTGCAAAGCATCCTAAGTATCTTTTCTTTGCTGTCCTTTTTCTTTAAGTTATAATTATCTTAGTCATGGAAGGGAATGAAGCAATTTTATGCATAAATCAATGTCAGATTGATTCTGCAGTAAATGATTAGGAGGACCTGAAATGTGTGTGTTGTTTTCCATTAGTGTGCCACTTCTGTTGAACAAATACATTAAAGCTGCATGTCAGCTTCATCTCCAGTCTTATCACATTAAAATAAAGTATACTCATTTGTTAAGAATAAAAGGGTTTAGGAGACCACCATCAATCTTCTCTCCCAGAACATTAGGCAATCCCTAGTCTTTTGTCTTTATACTTCTGGTTTGGTTTTCAGGATTGACTGGCACTAACTCCAGAGTTCATCAAAATGTCTGCTAGGGCAGATTGGCATTCTTACTGTTTCTTTGCCGTAGGCGCCTGCTGGTTGTGTCCCTAAAGTGCTTAGGAGGTGTAGTCTTGGACTAGGATCCTGTTATGCTAGGTATTGTCCCTACACAGAACAAAAAAAAAAGGCTCCTGCCCTAAAGAGTGGACAGTGTTGGGTGGGGATGTCCTGCAGTCTTCACTTCGGGTTTTTTTCCAACCAGGTTCTTGCTGAAGTCCGTGAACAGTTTGTCTATGTAAAGACAAAGGGCTGAACTTGGGCAAGTCATTTCCTGTCTCCATGCTTCCGTCTATCCTCCAGCTTTGCCCAACATAGTCAGAATATTGACTCCCTGAAGCACAGGCAATGTCTTACTGTACAATTTTTGTACAGTATCTAGCAGAATGGTAGCCACTTCTCAGCTGAGGCATTTCTGAGAATTTTAATACTTGAAACAGAGGGCACCATTAGGCAGTGGGGCAGAGCAGCACTGCAGTGCCACCAGGGGTTCACTGGGAAGCAGTTGGCCTCAGCATGGCAGAATGCCTCGCAGGACAGTAGGGGCAGGCACCCTATTGCTTTCCTTTCTGTGGGGTACATCTTACTCTCCCACACAAGCCAGCCAGCTCAGCTTCCACTGCAAGAAATGGAGTGACACAAAGCCCTGTCTCTGCTGCCAGCTTAGGATAGGATCTTTGGCAAGCTACACCGCTACTCTGTGCCTCTGTCTCCCCATCTGTACAATGGGTTTAACGATACTGATCTTTTTAGAGTATTTTGAATTCTACTGATGAAAAATGCTGTGATTTCTTACTAGAGAAACTCCCTCTGGGACCTGTCCCTAAATAGCCAATAGCCTGATGTCCAAAGTGCTTTCCTGGGATGGGGGAGCACCAACTCTGAGAGGAGCCAAGACACTTTTTTTTGCCAACAAACACGTTGTCAAAACCAGGAACAGTTTCTGTTTGGATGAACTGGCTTCAGGCTCCCAAGCACTGTTGCTCTATTTACAGGTTAAGAAATTAGAATATAATGAATCATCAGCCACTGAAGAACTAGCCATTCTGAGACTGAGCTGCTGCTGTTTTTTATATTTGGCAGAGCATCCCAAAAGAAAAGCACATTGTGTTTTCCCCTGGTAATCACAAGTGCACTTTTTAGTTTATACACATTTCATTAGATGAATGCAAAAGCAATGCAGAGAGTGCAGTAAAACTTAGAAGGTCTCACTAATGATCTTACAGGTTGTGGACCTGTTCCCCAGCCATTGTCCACAGAATCAGTGTAATGTTGGGACATAGCTGGTATAGTCAGGGGTACAATAATGATCAGGGTGATGGTGAGGGGAGATTTCCTCAGGGATCTGCCTAGAGCCTTCAGTAGCAATTAGTCAAGTAATGATGAAATATGCCAGGGTTTCCAAACTGAATTGTGAATAGCCTTCCCGGTATTGTTGCCTGCTGCATCTTAACAGTTCCTTTAATGGAGCTAAAAGTGAATGGATATTTTTGCTGAAGTTTTCCAAGGGGAAAAAAAAATAGATTTCAATCAGTTGTTCCCATAAACTGAGGTAGCAATCTCTTATTATGAATGACATCTAGGTATTGACAGTATAACTAACCTAATAATTTTATACTTTTATCCTCCAAAACTTTCAAGGTTTTCTAAAGTGCTTAGCACACAGCTAGGACAAGGTTTTTTAAATAGTCCTTAAAGAGGGCTGCTTGATTGTTTTGAAAGCCTAACCCTTATCTTCATGTATCACTATGCCACAGCCTAGATTTCTGTCTTCGTAGTGACATAACCCAAAGGCACACAATGGTTAGCCTCCAGTGTGAGAGCAATGCTCATGAATATATATTACAGGTTCCCTTTGTCCCAGTTTGTGGAGGATAAATTAGTCATAGGTCCAGCATGGCTCTATAGCCTAAGCTATGCTTTCTAGATTCAGCATGGGTATGTTGGCCATGGTAATAGCCATGATACACAGGAAAAGTAGATAAAAGCATACTAGTGCTCCAGTCCTGCACTTAACACCACGTGGAAGAGGGTGTTTGCTCACAGGACCTTCACTGCAGGTGCAGTGAATGAAAGTAAGGGCCTTGTTACCCATTGCACATTGAGCTGCTCAAATGTTGATCAGGGTTAGTACTAGCTCTAGATTCATAGATTCATAGATTAAGGGTCGGAAGGGACCTAGTAGATCTTCTAGCCCGACCCCCCGCCAGGGCGGGAGAACAACAAAAAACCCCAAAAAGAGAAACGGGACTCAAACGAGTCCAGCCAG